ATTCTTTGCAGAACATTGTAGCTAGATTTTGATCATAATTCGATCTGGCCTGCTATCAAATCTCGCTGTATCTATAGTAATTCGACTAGTATGGATGGTCTGGTCTAATCAGTAAATGCTAATAATCGAAAGGCAGGGAATGGAGTACTATTCGGTGAAAGCGCATTCTGACCACAACGCGTTTCCCTCTGGCCGCTGTTATACTCTTGTTATCGGACTGTCTGCCTTTCAGTCGCCGTTAGAATCAATGAAGGTGGGGACTTTAGAGCGTCTGCAAAGGGCTATGGTAACGGGAAAATTGGATGAGGGTTATCTTTGTCGTTTCCTGCTAAATAGAATCAAAGCAGATAGGTCTGCCAGCTTGAGAGGTCAGTCACCGTCCGATCTTGCTTTGCCCGCTACCAACTCTGTCATTAGTTGTCCCTCGAGGCCAATCCCATCGCCTTCCTCTGGACCTCTAAGGGGTATACCCTTCCTGGTAAAGGACAACTTTTGCGTTAAGGGCCTAGACGTTACCACATGCGCTTCTAAGGCTCTGTATAACTACTCATCACCGTTTAATGCATCAGTAAGTTGGTATCATGCCTTTGGCAGCTCATATTCCCTCCAGATATGATAGTTCATCTTGCGTTATCGTAGGTTGTTCAAGCCTTACTGGATGCTGGTGCTGTTTGCTTGGGAAAAACCAATATGGACGAATTTGCTATGGGTTCGGGATCAACTGAGAACGCAATACACGGACCCGTAGTGAATCCATGGTCACCCTCTCCACCTGGCAACCCTTGCATTGCAGGAGGTAGCTCTGGAGGCAGTGCGGCAGCGGTGGCTGCTGGTCTGGCGCCCTTCGCTCTTGCTTCTGACACGGGCGGGTCGGTACGAAACCCGGCGGTTCTATGTGGCGTTGTGGGTTTCAAACCCACTTATGGACTGGCATCACGCCAGGGCATGATTCCGCTCGCCAACATCATGGATTGTCCTTCTATTACGGCAACTCGGGTTGCGGACGTTGGAATGGTACTCTCCACGTGGGTCCAGCAGAGCTGTGCAGCTAGATACGGGGACGCCACTCTAGCCATAGTCAGGCCACCTCTTCTACCTGACTTACCTCGGATTGGGATCCCTAAGGAGTATTACGCGCCCGGGATGCTTTCAGAGGTGGTCGAGGTTTGGGATCAGGTAGCGTCATGGTTGGCGGACGACTTCCAGCTACCTGTCGAGTCTGTGAGCCTCCCTCACACACCCATCGCCACCGCTGTCTACTCTGTCCTATGCTCAGTGGAGGTAGCATCCAACATGGCTCGGTAGTTAACCAAAAAATTATATTTTCCTTATGATAAACCATGGTAACCTGTGACGCTACTGTGCATATATAGTTATGACGGCCTTCGGTATGGCCTGCGTGTGGAACCTGGTCCGGAGATGCGGGAAGCTTTGATCCAACTGAATCTGGACACCGCTGATGGCCTGGCTGCGGGATCTCGATGCTTGGGCTTTGGAGAGGAGGTGCGCAATCGCATATTGGCAGGCAACTTCTTCCTACTTCGTGGACAAAAACATCTGCATCTGGATGCCGCTCGGCGATTATGGCGTCTTGTTAAAAACGATTATGTGGAAGTTAGTTGTTAAATCTCATACTCGACTTTAACGAAACGCAAAATACGGGAGTGTAAACCCACTTACTATTATGCGTAGTATTAAAAGTGGAGGAAGTCATACTAACCCAAAAACGTTATGTAAACGGGGCGATTCCTCATTGCTCAGGTCTTCAATAAAGTGGACTTTCTATTGGCTCCGGTGACCTTACATCCGGCGCCTAGTCTACGAGAGTTCCGCCAGCTGGATAACCGTTCTCGAGTAGCCCGGGAGGACCCCTGCACAGTTGGAGTCAACCTAGCAGGTCTTCCAGCAATCAGCATTCCAATTAAAGTGAGCGTTCAGAAAAGACTCCCGATAGGACTGCAGCTCATTGGTCCACCATGGTCAGAAAAGGATCTCATCTCGCTGGCGGGACGCATAGAAGAAAAAGCGGATTTTCCAATACTTGTAGATATACCCTCTCTCCTAGATATCGAGTAGATCCGCAAGGATGTAAGCGTTCTTACTCAGAAAATAAAAGTGATCTCGACATGCGACTTTTATTCTTTAGCATATGTACAGTCAGCAATGGGGGTCTCATCTACAATGGAACCTCTGTTTTTAATTGAGGACACCAGGAAGGAGTATCAATAGATGTGTAATTCATAAGGGCGCCTGGATAATACTTGACGAAGTGACCCCTAAATTGTGTAGCATTGTATTTACATCAAATCCATCTTAGCAGCGGAAGACATTCACGCTTTGCTCCTGTCGCGCGACTGATATTCGAGACCTCTGCTTCTGAGGTGATCTATTCTACTCTTCGAAAGCTTTCCGGAGACACTCATCGCATAAACGCCTGGTGTCAGCTTGTCTATCCTTAACCATCGCGCAACCCAGCTCTCAGAGGGGTTCATCATGGCAACCATTCCGTCGAAGTTGTTCGATGTGCACTCATAAACAGATTCCCGGTCCCCTTGAAGGTTTAGGTAGTCCTCGCAGTTTTCGCAGCCATTCATTTCGAATTGAGACATGGTTTTGATAAGTCCACATAATAAGCAGGCTCGTAGTTGACGCAAATCTGTAGGTATTATGTGCTGCATGTCCATGATAAGCAACCGCAGTCAACACGAATTTGCGCAGCGCCAATTGGGAAAACGAGTCTAAACAAGCACTGATGGCACAATCTAGTAAAAACCAAAATTAAAGCTAAGATCCATGTTGTTCAACTTGGATTTTGAGCCCGACTCTTGTTCAGCAAAAGTTAAGTTTGGGACAAATTTAATCGTGTTTACGAACAGTTATGTAAACGATGGAAGTCTATGACTTTACACATGTGAAAACTGCAATTTTAATTTATTCCTCGTGAACACTTTTAAATCAAATAAAGGCATGGCATAGTAATGTTCGAGAACAACAGAAGCCGCAACGGTGTGTAAAGATGGCATAATGATGGGGATACAGAATGTCATGACCTATATTCGCTATCACTTGCTTCCAGTAGCTTCATCGTTATCCGAGCTTCCATAAAAGAAGAGCAAATGTAGAGCCTTAGGCGCCTTAACCTCTGATCCCATATGGGAATTAGGTGGGTAGGTTTATTTAACAACTTGTACAGAAAAGTAAAAGGAGGGTATCCAACATTACCCCGCGGGTGTGTCTTCAAAGTCCTCACGAATCAAATCTGTTTTCGAATCGCTCAACCACCTCGCTCTCACAAAGGCAGCTTGAACACATTAGTACATATTGTAGTGGCAGCCACCAAAGTTTCAATTAGGTGCAAATTAGGTGATCCCACAGCATGTGGGATTCTGCCTGCATGGGAACTGAATTTGCATACTAATTAAGAGTAATAAGAGTATCGACCCAAACAAGTAACATTGAACAAAAAAGGCCCTAGGTGTAGCGTCCCGAGACTTCCCGTAGGGTAAAAGAATGTCGTAAGTGAGGTTGGATACATGTATTCCGAAGAGAACAGAGCAGATGAGCCTGAGCATGGCTCTAAGGCCAGCCCATGAGTACAAGGGTCAGACAAATCCAAAAGTGGCCGTCCACCGTCAGGTAGTCACATAAACAAAGCATTATATTAAATACTTCAAAATATAATATTCCTAATATACCCTCCATTGTCATCTTGTATTCAGTGCATCACTTTCATTTTGGTTTTTCCACTTCCATTTAGTTAGCATGAATATTGAGTGCGCGCCATTTGTTTGCCTGATTAGTATTGTCGATCGGGCATTGTGGGTGGTTCCACCATCGACTGCTTCATGCTATTTAAGATTAACATCGAGCCATGTATTTGGCCTATTTGATCAAATTTTCAGATTCAGAAAAATCTTGACTCTGTGATGAGTCAAGCAACGTAATATAATTGCTTTATGGGTAGGATTTGCTTTCTGCTGACACTAAAGCGAGTCCCCAAATTCTCCCCAATGGAGTGGTAAGCTACGAGAACGGTGGAGGCTGATGTCGTAAGACTACAGTCTCCTACGCCTGACTACTCTGCGCAGTCGAAACCGCGTTAGATAAAGTCAGAAACCACAAACTAATGTTTGTGACTATCGTTGTGTATAACATTTGTAAAACATCAAATAAATAGGAGCTGTTCAAAATGCTAGGCCCGTAGCTTTTGGGAGATGCGTTTGGAACTAATAAGTGGTAGTGTTATGGCTGTAAAACATCAATTGCTAGAGCATCATATATGCCATGTTGGGGTAGCGATTTTGTAGTGCTACACGTTAGTTGTTGAACACTCGGTGTTGGTAAAAGTGCCATCATGGGTGGCTTGGCCTTTGGATCATGTCGGTCATCCCAGCCTCTTTCTATGTCTGACATACATTAATTCTGCCCAAATATTACACCAAGGGAGTATAATGATGTGGCAATGTTGATGAAGGAAATACGATGCTAACGTCTCCTTAAAGTTCACTTTGTCATATAGTAAGTAAGTAATTTGGAATTATTAGTATAATGATAAAAATCTAAACCAATGAAACTACAAAACTAAAAATAAGCGACAGTAGCTTATTTTAACGAGATTCTGTTGGCGACATTTCCCACTTTGAAAGACGAGGGCTAATCACTACTATTTGCCAATCTGCGACTGATTGTGCGATCTGTCAGCGGTAAAGTTTGTGTAGTCGACTATGACCGAAGCTGTGCGGCTTTTCAAATCAGAGAGACAAAACTCTACTCACAAGAACAATTCAAAAATGACATCGCAATGGCTTCGCATTGTTAATAAGGGTCGCAGTATTGACAAAGCCTGTGGCGCATTCAGTTTAAATTTGCATTCACTTTACCGGTTATTTTATTTTTGCGATTCATGTCACAAGTCTCCGCAGCTATGTAGGTCGCCTTGACAGAACACAATGGCGACCGTAGCAGCAGCAGCACCTGCCATATTTGAAAAAAGTGACGGGTGCAGACTTTTAGCTGTCGGGGCGAATGCAATTTGGAAAGCCAAGAGTGCAGCACCCTCTGCAGACACTACTGCTTTCATCCGCTGCCTGCAGTTCATGGAGAACGAGCAATGACTCTTGC